TACAGCTCAGCTGAGGAGGACGCCGTTAAAGTTCACATAAAATGAAACATAAATGTCCCTAAAGTCAATTCTGTGTCTCTGTGTAAATCATTTGTTATTATTTTTGTTATATGCCAAATATGTTTGTTTTTTTTAAAGATCTGTATCAAGGTATTTCTACACCACTATGTTGGTGTGAAGTCGTTTCTTCCTGTAAAACCAGCTAAAACAGTTTCAAATATTGAAACAATGATGACTGAGTCATCCTGCCCTCAGGGGACATTTACAAAACTTCATCCAATCTAACGACACTTTGGGCAACCAGCTAACCACACCAGTCATGAAACCACATTTCACCATTTGTGTGTTTTGTAGCTAACAGAGCAATATGGAGATAATAAGAAATGTGTTTGAATCCACCTGGACAAAACCTCTGTTTTCATTTTCAAAACTATGTGGCGATCCTGATCTAATAGCGCAGGAGGTGTTTAGAAAGTCAACAGTCTGCTATAGCTCCATATTGCTACCTTTTAATGTTTACATCTCGCACTGTCATGAGCACGAGCCTCTTGTCCATGAGTAGATGCACACCTACTTCTGTGGGGTGATACAGTTGGTGGGTGTAGCTTGGTAGTAAGAAAGTAGTTCCTACTAGGGAACTCAATGGTTAACTGCATAATGTTTCTGCAGCAATATATTCTGCCACAAGCAAGGCGTCGAAGGAGCAACACCACTAGCTAGCTACTTTAGCTCCCAACCGAACTGGGTGGTATGCAATGCACTATGTTTCCACAAGATAACGCATTGCACAACAGCAAAAATTCACCACCTCTAAATGCTCTAAATGCAGCACTAAAGCTTACTGAGGCAATGGAGTGCTAGACAACATTGTTTTGTGTTTTTTTTTCTTCTTAAAAATTAAGTGGTTCATGACCAGTTAATGGGCGTTGACCTATCGAAAGCAAAATTAACAAAACTGACATCTCTAGTTTCTACATGAAACTGCTCACAACAAGGTCTGTGGATTATCTTGAGTAACTGAGTCATGATTTCTGGAAAGAGACATTACTGTTGAGTTTTTCAAATGTATTTTTTTGGCACTTTGAGCACCACAAGCTGAGTGCCATCTAGTTCCATTATATTGGAGAGAAGGCAGACATCTCTGCAGCTGATATCTCCAACATTCTGCAACCCACACCAAAACAATCTACATTAATAAACAGCACTACAGGTGAGAGGAAAAATATGTATTTTTGATTTTGGGCTGAACTGTCCCTTTAAGCAGGACACTGTTCCCATCTTGACCGCCTGTCCCCCTCCTCCTGTTACTAATCAATTTACATGCATCACACGTCACGTGAAATCCTGCCAGCGATCCGGGCTAACCTCACTCAGCTACAAATGCATCCCACGCAACCAAAGCTGGAAGAGAGAGAGTTTAAAAACTCTTTCATGTCAGAGGTCACATTTTTACCACATTAAACACACATCTCAGTGAGTATTATCTGAGGAACTGTTCTGTCCATTCATACGAGCGCAGGAGATGAAACACTCTTGTGAATTTACAGATTTTGCTAATACAGGGGGTTAGTGTTTGTTCTGAGGCTCATGACCAGACCTGACAGCAGTAGACAAGGCAACATATTCCTGCTTTTACCTGTGACACCACTGAATGAGCACACAGACACACCTTTATGTGTCACATAAGTAACACAGCGAGCACTCGTGGGTGTTTTCATAAGAAAGACAACAGAGTTAGTTCATACACATGTTCATATCTGTTTTGCTGAATTCAGAGGCACTTCCTGTTGACTAATGTCCGTTATATGACTGTTCACTCCTTCATAATAAAACTAAAAGCCTGTCAAACCAAAACCAAACCCCTGCCACCACCGGCGTGAAGGCAGGAAATGTGTGATCCTCAGCTTCCAGTGTGTGGTGCGGCCCACTCATGTTGATGGGTGTTGAGAGGAAGCTTTGATGGCGGTGAATGGGGTACTAATGAGTTGGCCTTATCAATGGCCGGTCTGTATTCTGTCCTCCTAATGGCCATGGGGACATCAACAGAGCTGTTGATGCTCCATGTAAACATCTCAGCCACTTCCCTGTGTGGAGGGCCTCCAACTTCAACCATCACACCAGGTTCATAATCTAATTGGTTCATTTGAACTTCAATGTTGCAAGCTTTTACCTATTGCATAATGTAAAGGAAGTGGCTGTTTTGTATATGTGTAAAAGTGCCTTTCTGCTCTGGAATAGTCTGTGTTTTGTTGTCCAGAATAAGTCATTATGTGGCAAACACAGTAGGTGGGCCTGTGGGGAATAATCAGGGCTGAAGGCCCAGACAGCACTGAGCTGCTGAGTAAACCTTGAGCTCAAGCTATCACCTGTTGAATACTATGATCAGGAAGCAGTAAGTGACATGTTTATGCGAGCTGACAGGAGTCACACATAAGGAAAATGACAGTGTTTGGTAATAATTCGCTGTGGTGCCACCTAAGTGTTGCAAAAACGGATGAAGACTGTGAAAGCTGGCAGCAGTGACAGTAAATATGTCTGGTAGTAGAGCAGACTGAGACCAACTGTTGCTTCAGGTAAAGGCGTAGTAATGTCGGCTGTTAATGTGACAGTGTATGGACACATCTTACCTGGCCGGGGCAATGTACAGGCAGGTCTAGCCGAGTGTCTCCTTCCACTGAAGCCAAACTGTATCCGTCAACAGACTGGGAGGAGACCTTTCCCTCTGCTGTGTCGCTCACGGCGCAATGTCACAACTACACTAATGTGTTTACACCACACACTGAGGACGACCAGCTCGACATGGACCTCACCGCCGACTTCAAAGCAGCCGAGTCGCTCCGCTCTCGCTTCCCGCTGACGGTTGGTGTTAATGTTTAATTTCGTTTACTTTTTTTTCTCCTTCCCAGTACGACCAGTCTCCCCCCGCTCCTTTCCTTTTCCTCCGCCACTCGGACGCTCCGCGACGAGAACAGCCGAATGTAGTCGGGAGGCGGAACAACCCGAAACACTGCCGGATGTTCAAGCTACCTGCCGTTAATATGCTACTTCCGCTGTAGCCTTTCAAAATAAAACTTCAGTTGGGGTTTAGAAAACTGAAAGTAATTTTGAGCTAACGTTAACTTGAGTATTTCTATTTTATGCTACTCTATACTTTTACTCCGTTACATTTAGCCTATAAGAAAGCTGTAGTTACCTTACTAGTTTCTTTGTAGTTTAACAGCACATAATATAGTTAGGGACTGTTCGTTACATATGAGGGATGAAGAGGTGGTGCAAAGTACTGAAGAGGGACTTGTGTTTATTATTTTTGGCTCAGGGGGGCATATAAATTTGTCATATAAAATGGCCATATAAAATTGTAATCCAATTATATAATATATATATATATTATTAAGACTTTATCATGCAGATAACTGTACATATTTATGTTTACTTTTATTCTATTTTTGTTTCTTCTTTTGATGTATATATTGTTTAATTTCACACTTAGAGCCTCAGCACAGTGACGATATATATTTTATTCATTTTTTAAAATAACAGGGACAGTACATATTAATAGACACTTGCATGTAAATATGTAGCATTGTAGCCATTGGCTAATTTCCACCCTTTGCCTTTTAATATTTTAATATCTTAAGTACTAGTGTGGGCGGCACGGTGTGGTGGTTAGCACTCTCGCCTCACAGCAAGAGGGTTGCCGGTTCGATCCCGGGCGTGGGAGCTTGTGCGGAGTTTGCATGTTGTCAGCGTGGGTTCTCTCCGGGCACTCCGGCTTGTTGTCCGTAGGTGTGACTGTGAGCGTGAATGGTTGTTTGTCTCTATGTGTCAGCCCTGCGATAGTCTGGCGACCTGTCCAGGGTGTACCCTGCCTCTTGCCCAATGTCAGCTGGGATAGGCTCCAGCCCCCCTGCGGTTAGAAGATGGATGGATGGATGAAGTACTAGTGTTTAACACTGTAGCATAATGCACATTATATTTTTTTATTTTAATGTACATTTTCAGTTGTATTTTACTTACTTCTTATAATTCTTCATTCTTTACATTGGAGCGACTGTAATGAATCACAGTTTCCCCTCGGGGATCAATAAAGTATTTCTGACTCGGATTCTGAATTTAAATGGTTGCATTTTGTATTTATTTTACCACCAATTTTTAATGAAAACACGCCTTTCAAACCTGTGGGTGGTTTAAAATGGGCATGTTTTCTTTATTAAATTTCCAACTGTCCTTAGATGTGCAAAGAACATCTTCTGATAAGTAAAGAACAGTCCCTTGACATAAATAAGGATGTACTGTTACAGATAAAGCAAGCTGGCAGTATATTTTGAGCATCAAACAGTACATTTTCTGCATTCTGGTGACTTTTTAGCACCAATGTGTGCCCTCTGTGCCTAAAGTTATGATGTACATGTCTTTAATTTTATCGAAGTAATTGTCCTCTGCTACTTTCATGTTTTTATTGGAGGACAAATGCACATGGTCTAAATATTGGGCAGGACATGTTCCCTGCTTCCCCCTCCCCCTGAAATATACACCTGTGCTAGTTTATCTCCCAAATTAAACCTAACTCAGAATGTATTTAAATCTTAAAAGAAAAGAACACAACTTCCTGTCTCACTCTGGCTCTTTGTGACGAACTTTACTGATGAGCAGGATGGGTGTTCTGCTCTGAGCCATGCAGAGGCGCACTCTCCCCACACTGTTCATATTCAAGCCTTTATTTCACAAAACCTTCCGGCCAAGGTGTTTTAACTGTGAATTTGACCAAAAACACTCAAAGTCCCAATTTTTTGATTAGTATATCCAGTTTGGTATGAAGGGCTGTAAGTCACTGTCACTGTAAAGACACACTGAATTTCTTAGAGAGATATTTACATGATATTCCTCTCCCCTGGTTTCATCTCTTTAAATTACAGGCAAATGAAACTAAAACTAAAGATTTGTATATAAAACTCACTCAGATCAAACACTATGACACCATGACAATTACACAAGGGGTATTAAGTAAAAGTTTTTTATTTAAATTAGCATAAAAAGCAAAAACAAACTAAGAACCATGTATAATCGGCTACAGTCAACTTCAAAAACATTGATAGAGCTTGATGCATATATTTTGTGAAGTTGAAAATAAGCACTTTATAAAAAATAGATATCTACATAGTAACATAATGAACATACAGTATGCATTTCCCAAAGTGGCTATGTGGTCTGTACATTTCCCCCAATGATATAAAAAAAGATCTCCACCACTTTAAAGACTGACAGCAGTACTAAACACGATCTACTTTCTATGGAAGAATGGGTGTTTGTGACGGGCTCTGAGGCTGTGACTGAGAATATGACAGGTAATTAAGCAGAAAATTAAACCGTGTATCCTTCTGTCCATCTTCACCTAGAGCTCCGGTCTTTACAAATGATTAAGTTTAACCGCACGGCTACCGAATACAACCTCTGACCACCAAGAAATAGTTTTCTTTACACTCTAATCTCTTTCTTTTTGGCGTCAAAAGCGTTGTGCAACATTTACATACACAACATAGTTTACATTAAGTTTGAAATGTCGGAAAAAAAATCCACAGTGAAATGAAATGGACTGATAGGAGTGTTGATAATATTCAGCCTTTAGAGATACAATGGGGAAACAGGGTGGCACGTAACGAGTCACACAGCTGAGGGTCTGGTGCTGACAGAGGACAGGAACTGTGGGACTGATAAGCCTCGTTTCCACCGAGCAGTCTGGTTCACTTCAATTCGTTACACATTAGAGTGATTCATTTTGCGCCTCCAATGTCAAAAGTTGTAGCTGGTACCAATAAAACAGATCCATTATGTACCGTTTTTTCGTTACCCTTCTGCTGAGGTACCAAACACACTGATCAGATACCAAAGAACACTCCAGCCTGTTCTTTTTGTTCTTAAACTGTCGGTGTGCGACCCTGTTCCCGTGACGATAAAGGTGCAGATGATCCTCTGCATTGAGAGCCAGATGTAGCTGTGAGTAACGACAACCCCGCCTACATTTGAGACAACTATCTGCAGTGGAAACTAAACAGTACACGTCCGTACAGGTTACGTACCAGTTCTAACAGTATTATACCAACAGTGTTTGGTGGGGACGTGGCTGTAGGTTACTTGCAAGGTGGACTGTTCATACTGTTTATGGATGTAAAGAGAAAAGCCTGTTTGATTACATATACGAGGGAGAGGATGTTTGGAGCAGTAGGTAGTCGAGGGGAGTCTTAGTGACAGTGCGACGTCTACTCATGGGCCTCTTTGCCTGTCATCTTGTAGAGCTCAGTGGGGCCATCGACGTGGGTGATGGTAGTGGTCAGCTGGATGTCCTCGCCGCTGTTTGCCCCGGTGTCTCCTGCACACACAGACATGACACATCCTTATGAGCTAAAGCCTCAACAACATGACGGGAATACAAAACATTTTACAGCATATTCTCTTGTATTACTGGGGGCGATAATCTGTTGTGTAACAAGATGGTTCATGCTGGCTTTACACCATCAACAGACATATTTCTCAATAGTGGAATAAAATAAGTTTGACTTAAGTTGGTGTGCAGGTCGTAAAAGGTCATAAAACTCAGTCCAACCCTCACCACTGTCTGGATCCCAGCGGGGGCAGTAGCCCTCGCTACACTTACCACAAGAAGGGTTATTCTGCTTAACTGGAACTCCCCTGACACGCCACCATTTAGACACTGGGTCAGACACCTACAGTATTGATGTCATTAAGCTCAGAGATCAGATATTCTCTTGAGGGCAAAAGTGACCCGTTCAAGGACTTGGGAACCCTATAAAGCTTACTTAGCGAATGCTGCCTTTTAACTTTTGTCATTTTACGAGCCACGCATTAGGTTGTTGTGTGCGTGATTCATTCTGATAACTTCTAGCCTGTCCTTACACCTTTATAGTTTTGTGCTTGCATGTCTGTATCATTGTATGACAATTATGATCTATGATACTGAAACTGTTCCTGTGTTATGTTCTGTAGAAACTGCAAAACCCAATAAAAACAATCTACAAAAAAAAAAAGTTTTTAGTCTTGGTTCATGCCAATAGTCAATTTCAGTGACGTTAACCTTTGTAAACAACCAATAGCTGCACTTTCTCCAGGGTCGACAAGAAGCAGCAAACCAGTTAGACAGTAAACATGGAGGGGACTCTGAAGAGGTGAGAACGTTAGGAAGTGTCGGTTCTCTTGGACTGTGTAAAAGGAGGAGAAACTGGTGGAGAAGAGGAGTAAACAAGAGTCGGTGTTTAATTCGGCGTGTATCCGATCCACCAATCAGCACTTATTTTAATGAGAAATCTTAATTTCTGAAACAGTTTGCCTCTCATAAAATAGTGCAGCTAACCTACAGAGGCTGGAAGTGAGCTGAGGAGGCAGAATCCAAAATGTAGTCTAGTTGTAGTCTTGTAAATAGCGAATATCTCATAGTGTGTGACTACAAACTCACAGACGTGAGAGGGCATCAGACTTGCGTCTTTTACAAGTTTTTTCAAGTCTTGTAGTGTATTGCAGTAAAGTTTCATCAACATAAATACTTTCAGCTTCTTCGAAACAAAAGTGAAACTCAGAGCTGATTAAGTAAATCAACACAGACTGAAACTTGGAGAGAGGCTGACGTACTTCAGGGAACGCTTCCAGAGATTCAAAGTCTTTTTCTCTCCTCGCGTCACTGACGTCAGGAGATGGATGGATGGTTTTCATTACTTCCCTGCTCTCCAACCCACCCCCACCCCCACCCCTCTTTACTATTGCCTTCCTTTCTGTCTGGAAGGAAGCCTGGTGTCCATTAGAATCACCTTCTTGGGCCAAAGAGACCCTTCTTTCCCCTGGGAATCTGGGTCTGTCTGAATCACCAACCCCTCCTCCCTTCCTTCAAAAACAAACTTTGGATGAATAGGCAGCTTTACAGCAGAGGACAGACACTTCTTCCCCATCAGAATGAAGTGAGCTACTAGATTACTTTTACAATCACAGAACTACTGAGCCTGTTGCATTTGAAAGTCTTTTCAAATGTCACCCCAAAACTTTAAATGAAAAAGAAACAACAGGGTGAATCTGAACTGAATTTATCTGAGTGCTATTAGACATATCTAACCATCAAATATTAGACAACATCCACACTAGTACGTTTTCATTTTAAAACGCGGTTTCAAAACGAGGTGGAACTACTGAAAGTAACGCAAGTTAAGGCGGTGGGAAACAGATTGGGAGGTTAAGAAACAACAGTTTCGATTGATCCACACTGCCTGGAAAATAATAGGCGTCAAAGAGCATATTTCCATGCAGTCTACTTTTAAACAGGCTACTCTAAAGCTCTAAGTCAAGCCAATAAGATTATCAATGACTCCTCTCACGTCCTGCATACTGAGTACAAGCTGATGCCCTCTGGTAGGAGATTGAGAGTGCCTCGTTGCAGACTGAACAGATTAAAAAAATTAATTCATACCTCTGTCTGTAAAGCTTTTAAACAATGCCAGATAAAACGAGATCTGGCATTGTAATATGACGATTTGCTGATTTGCATTTTTACAGAGGTGTTTTTAGTCTTTGACATCATTTACTTATCTTTTTGTTTCCTATTGTTACATTGGGTATAATGATTTGTCTATGTATTATGTTGTATGTTATATTTCTATGGCTGCAGTATGAGTGTAGGGCCCAAGGTAAAAAATTTCCCACTCTGTGGGACAATAAAGTTAATCTTGAATCTTGAATCGTTACAAAGCAAATACGACGACATATTAGGCGGTGCTAGGAGAATTATGGCACTGGAAAAGGAGTACCCGCACAAGGAGAATGACATCACAAGAGGTATGTAGACCTAGCTGACTCTGTTTTGACTTCACATATCATGACTGGTAAGACCCAATCGGGACGCTAACGTGGAGGTCTGCTGCATAATTTTCAACAGGGGGCATAAGCACATACAGCATGAAGCAGCGACTCACTGCCCCAACACTGGCATGAGAGTGAGACCAGCGGCGTTGCAGACGACAACATCAGCTGGCTTGAGTCGAGCCAGCTCACACCACTACAACTTTTCTCTGCAGCATTCTTAAATAGTTTCATCTCGGTCTGAACTAAGCTTAAGGCCTTGCCCACTTGTACACCACTATTTTTAAAAAGGTAGCTTTTTTATGTGCTCTGGCCTTTTGTCCTGCACACACACACACTGTGTTCTCACTGCTCCAGGTAGCCTTCTGGTAATTACTTTTTTCAGGCTTCTGGTTTAGCGAACATCATGGTCGTCTTCTTCTTACTGTGGCTTTAGGGTTACAGCCATATTGCTCCCTGCTGGTTTGGCATGCTCTTGACAGCGCTTCAATAGTGTTTTCATTTGGACGGAGATTTTATAAGTCAGTTTCGTGCAAATGCGAATTAGATGTGAAAAAATAACTTAGAAACATTTCTTTTAAACTTTATCGTTAGTTAGATTAGATTATCTATTTTATTTAAGTCTTTGTCTAGCACATATTCTAGACTTAACTGCTACAATGGCTGAAAATGTTAAGGTTACTTTATTCCACTACTATAAAGCAGTGTAGGCCATTTACAACCAATAGTTAGTAGAAAATATGTAGTTACCAGTGATGCACTGACCACTCGACTGCTCGTCTCCATAACGTTTGTGAGATGGCGCGTAGAGGAACATGATGGCGAAGACGTACAGGTTCCACATGCCGTAGATGCCAGTGAAGAAGGCGCTGTTCACCTGCACTGTGTAGTCTCCCCAGTGCCAGTGACCCTCATTCACCTGGATACAGACAGAGGACAGATGCATACTTTCTGTGTTACTGTTTTTAGGGTGTTGTAGGTGTTTGGACGGCAGCAAAATAGCTTTCATAGTCATTGTGAAAATAAAATGTGACACAATTTTCAGCTAAACAGTCCTAACTGCACAGCATTTCAACATAGTGGCATTCACCTGACTGATGATGAAGAAGATGACAGTCATGGCAGCACAGGCCAGAGTGACCAACATGAGGAACTTGAACCTGAAAATCAAACCCTAAAAAGGAGATAAAGGGGATGAGTTTGTGAAACTATCAACAAAAAACACACTGTGTAGCAGAGAAATCATTTTTACTGTCATAACTTAATGCAAACACAAGCTTGCCAGATGAAACACACACCTCATAGTGCAGCCGTCTGGCCCTGGACATGGCGGGCAGGGACATCCTCTTACCGCTAATGTTGCGAAAGACTTGAAAAACCATGAAGCAAAGAAAGAGGAAGTAGAGACAGGCACAGATCCCCGCCACAATAATGAATGCCATCTGAGGCAACACCAGTCAAGGTAATAACCAAATAACAATGTCCTTAAAAAGAGCGGTGGTGCACATCTGAGGGATATAATTACTTTAATCATTTGTCCTCATTATTGGAAAGCAAGCAGACTTAATGCACTGGTGTGCAGGTTTATCCTCATATGCTCCAAATGTGACAGTACACTGCTCACTGACAACAGTCTTCAACAAACTGCTGAGTCAGGAACACTAAGCAGCTTGGGGATGTCAGTTTTGGTCAATTTTGCTTTCAACAGCCCAACACCCATTAATTAACCAGTTAATTTGTAAGAAAAAAACAAAATTACATGGAATACAAGTGGGCTTCATTACACCAAAACTGAAAGTAAGCATCTCCATAGTGCGGGTCTTTTGATGTCGACCACTGTCATAACTGTACATTGGGAAATAGTATACAAAGAGCTTAAACACATGCTAGAATATGAGGTTCCTCACAGTTGTTTGGTGCTTTATCTCTGAAGAAAATGTTACTGCTAGTGATATATATTTGATTAAAATATTGCTAGTAACAAGCATGAAAGCTATCACTAGGAACTGGGGTAAAGACACACCACCAACGCAGGACCAGTAGCTAACAACTGTGGAAGAAATCTTATTTACAGAGACACTGACACATACTGAGACTACAAGAAGCACAACTAGAAAGAAAATGGAAAAATGGACTCTATACAAGACTAAAAACACGACACTGGACTGGAATAATAATCAATAGATACACTAATCGATAGGGCTGTAAAAATGTGTATTTACATAGGCAGTTTTTGTTTCGCTAGCTCTTATTATTTTTCAGTTATTATTTTATTATGCTGTTGTAACGGATATGTCAATGTCACAAAAAATGTTTTATTACAGATTTAAGTGGGAGAAAAAGAAATACAAGTGGCACCAGTGCTTGACATTAATGCCATAAACAAAACAAACAAACAAAAAAAAATGATATCTAATGCAACGTTATCTGTAAATAAACTGCGTCCTGTATAGCTGAGCATAGCTTTTTCAGCTGAGCTGCGTGCCCAAGTCTGTCTCACCCCCAAATGTTGAACAGGACTGATGAGGAAAATTTTACATACTGGACATTATGGAAGTTAACTTGGAGGGTGACGATGTTGTACACAACATAACATTGCTAACGTTAAATACCTCTGGAACACTGAATGCAAAGGCTTTTTTGCCCAGAAGCTAACACTAACTGGTGTGCTATTCTAGCCAGGGCTCTGGTGCGATTGTATCCATTTTAGAAGCTTAGTAATCCAGCTTTGAAAATTAACCTACAGACCAGGACTGGGTGATATGTCCTGGAAATGACATCACAAGTTTTTTGGGCTGTATCTCGATACACGATATATATCTTGATATTTTTTAATCTCATCAAAAGCACTTAATTAATGCTGGGAGTGGGAAACAAAAACTAACAAAATATTTCTGGACACAACCTCTCTGATACAACTAAGTTGTGAGGATGACTTTTTGTTTTTTCATTTTTAATAAAATGAGATTTTTGATCAATTATCATCAATAATGAGGATATATAACCACTAAGTGGGTAATGACAAACACTCAGGTGTGGTAAGTTGATAGATTTCTATCGATTTACTGTATTGCAGCCTTTAAAATGAGGGAAAAACATATAATATCTTTATAGTGCCGGGTCCTACTATCGCCCTGCATGCATAACCAGTCAAACATATTGTCGGCTGTTAACCACTGACATCCCAAGATAGGACTCAGTAGGAGAAGCAGGAAAAAGGGAGGATAGACTGAAAAACGCAGGGTGTGTGGCAGCTGTTTCTGAAGAGGTGTGCTGATGAATCTTGCATTGCTCCCTTCCGCAAGCAAACCAAACAAACAGGTACACACACATAAACAAATCATCTCGAGACCCTGGGCAGTGCTTTCACATATGGCATTACTGAATTATTTCTCATCTTATTCATCTAGAGATCAGTTTCCAGTTCATGCTAAAGCCAACTCGAAGAACTTCTACATGTACTGCGAAAACTGAAGCAAGGCATCAAGTCATGATAACTTGGCACAGTATTGGTACAGACGTACATTGTGTTCCAACAACTAGAGACTGAACTGAAAAACAGGATTTGGCCATTTATACTGTTGAGGGGTTTTATCAGCATCACAGCAGTCAGACAGGCAGTTAGCAGGAGAGTGCTCATTTTCTGACACTGTTGTCAAACACAGCTTAAAAAAAGGATACAGCCAGCTCAGTGCCTACATCAGACGCCCAGATGCTGTAGAAAGGGTTTGTCAGCTGGACCCCTCTGGTGGCACAAAACAAAAACAACATCTATGTTACCTCCTCTGAGTGTGTCTCAATATTTCATCACCAAAAGCACAGAAGTATGTGGAGATGAAGTATGAAAACATAAATTATTTTGTGCTGCATACTGACATTTAACACCTTAATAAATTAAGTGTCTTGTAATTTGTAAATAAAAACATTGGTCTCACCTCTCACACATGTCAAAGATAAAGAGGCAGAAGGAGCCAAAGACGATGGGTCCGACCTGCTTCCAGTAGACGGAGAATCGGTTCCTCTCCGTCTGGTCCTGAAAGAAAATACAAAACAGACAATAAGAATGGGATATACTGCATTCATGGTTATTTGGGAGAAAATAACCATGGTGAGAAGGACCCAGCTGTACTAAAGGATGCACTGAAAGCAGTCATACAAGGAAAATTGGAAGCAATTACATGTAATCTTAAAAAAGAAAAAGCCATACAATATAAGATCCTTATAACCCACCTAAAATGATTCACAGAAAAAAAACACAAAAGGAACAACACAAAAGGAAAAACTGACAAAAAGTCACAATAACAAATGAGAGCGATAAGAAAGAAAATTAATGATCAACTGCATCAAGAAATCGAGAGAAAAGAAAGACATTTAATACAAAATTAGCATGTTTGAGGCCTCAAAGCTGCAAAGTAATGGGCGAGACAATTACGGAAACAGGCAAAAATTATGCTCCATATACTAAATGACATCTGAAATACACACCATCATAAAAGTGCTTCTACAAACATATTGTAATGTTCCGTGTGACGCACTGGGTTTCCAAAATCCCTCCAATGTGTCTTGTTCTATACCTGAGACACATGGAAGGAACTGTATGTGACAAACCCCATTTATAGCTGGTATTAACATGCTTCTTGGGGTATCCAATCACAGAGGGACAGCGTATAATACAAGTGTAACTGGCCACCAAGACACTTGTTCCAATCACTCAAACCTCTTGCAGAGGTGGTCTGGGATGCTTTTATTTCTGTATTGTAAACGCTAATACATCCCAATGCGTCAATGCGGCTATGTCTCTAATACAGGACACGTTGGTCGCTTTGGTGATGGTGCACTAGCGCTCTATAACTTGCCCATTCTATGACAAGTTGGACAAAGTGTTGCCTGAAAAGAATATGGCAGAACTGTTAACATGCTTCAGGAAAGTCATCCTCAAACAGTCAGTGCAAGAAGGACACTATTGAGGGACCCAGCAGCGGAACAGTGGCAACTCTGACAGCTAAGACAGTAGAGACAGTAACCATCGTCCTGGTGCTTCAACTGTCCCACCTTTACAATGAGATAAAACACACCATCATCACCATGATGGCTTGTGATGGCAGCATGGTGCTGTTGACATGTTCTCTGTAGAAGGCCCCAGAAGGCTTGTGGAGGCAAACAAAACATGAATGCAGCTAAATATTAAAATGTGCTGCTGCAGCCTGCAACGCGGATGGTTTTAAAACACCAATATTATTGTCGTGAAGTATCCAAGTCAGACTCCAGACCTCAATACAATCCAGAGTTTTTGGCAGGAATTAAGTTCACTGTTCACTTCATGCAGCTTGACAGAGCTTTAACAGTTGTGTACAGAAGTATGGGGGGGGGGGGGCAACACGACATTAGGGAGGTTTATAATATCCTGCAAACAGCCATGATGGATAAGAAGACCCTTTTCCTCCCACATGGTCAGCAAACCAGAGCACTGACCCAAACTTTGAACTCCAATTACCACTAAAATGTAGTATGAATTTCATGTAGTGTATTAAGTGTGTGTGTGTGTGTGTGTGTGTGTGTGTACCAATATGTATTTCCCTTAGTTAAACCTTACTTCCACTGCCTTTGCACCACTAAAATATCTCTACCATCTTTGATAGCTCTACTGCCATGTTTAGTACTATTCTGTGTGTTTCACTCTCAAAACACTAAAAAATTAGAAATCATGCTATTGTTTAATTATAACGGTTATGATTAAAAGACTATTATCATTCAGGGGTTGACACTGCCTGTCAATGGACAGGAGGGGACTGACTCTGATTTTCAGATTGGCTGAGATGAAGCACTGATAAACTGATGTCATGAAGATCTGACTCCAACACTACACTACGCCCAAAGACCGGGTGATGAAAAGTCAGGTGCTGCAGACAAGAGTGTACACAGAGACATACAGACATTGATCAAGAAGTGTGGGCTGAGTGGAACTTTGAGAACATGTTGAGGAATAGATCATGTAAGAAGAGTAAGAACAAGTTGAGGCAGTTGACTTAAGGTGGAGAAGCAACCTCTCTACAGAGATCTTGGTGTGCTGCTTAGAAGCTAGGAAGCAAATGGAATCCCTTTTTTAAGTGAGCAAGTAGCAATAAGCCCACCAGCCAGCAAGAGAGAAACAGCCTACTGTGCAGAATACACTGCTGTCAGAGAGCTGAGGAGCGCTTTGAGAGACTGTCATCCTGTCTGAGGCAGACATGGAGCTCTTTAAAGAAGTCATCCAGTTAAGGGTCCCTCTGTTAAAGGAATACGTCACCCACAATACAATCATTTGTATATTTATTAATTTACCTGTGATAGGCTGAATTCGTGAAGAAGACCTTGTTTTTCTCGCATGTCTTGCGGTTGCTAAACGCGGTCCCCTTCAACTCCAATTCATCATATAACCTAAGGCAAGTGACTGATAAACAAATGTTCATTTTGTGGGTGACGTATTCCTTAAAGCGAGAACAATATTTGACAATCTCCATAACTGCCCCAGTACAGGCCCAATAACAGACATCGGATGAGAGTGACCTGCGAGTTTTTTGTGGGATGAAGGCCAGGTTCAGGGAGGATTTTGATGGCTGGTACACAGCTCTCACACATCGTCACTTCTCCTCTGTCCACAACCAAAACTGCAAAGAACTGTGTTTCCTGGACAAAAAGGACAGTGAGAGAACACCTGACTTGTTCATTTATTTATGAGTTCTAACATAAACTCATAATGGAAACAATTATTTATTGTTATTTAAACCAAAAAATGTGCAATTCCTTTTGATAGACAAACAACCAATACAGTTTAGAAGATTTAATATTATATTATAAAGTATTTTCAAGTTAAGATTCAGAGCTTGCAAATTGAGGCATATTGCAATGTTAACAGAGCTTTATACAATATTCAGAGCATTGTTATGGCAATGAACTATTTGCAAAAATAAAATATAATGAAGTAATGCAGAATGAAGTCACACTCGCTCTGTGTGTGTTGTAATCAGAGATTCTCTGTTTATTGTTGTGCATGTGCATGTTTGTGCATGCAGGTCCTTGTGTGTGTGTATCCCGCTGGCTAGCTAACTGCTGCCACTCTGCACTGTGCTCATACGGCAGTTTAGGGCTGGGCGATATGGACAAAAATACATATCTCGGTATTTACAGGCTGACTGGCGATACACAATATATATCTCGGTATTTTCTACTAAATGGGCTAGTACATGTTTTCAGCTGCAAGTTAAAGCCACATTTGAAATGTCAAAAGCACTTTTATAAAAACAGACTGATCAAAATAAAATGCAAAAACAGGGATATTTTTTCAGTTTGAAAATATGGAGCTGCACAACAGTTACACCTTCAAAACACTAGTCGGCAGCAGGGTTTCTGTGAAGGGCTGTAAAGTTTAGTTGATTCAAAATACACCTAAAACACACATTAAACATGGCTTAATAGCAACAATTTCAAACACATTTTCCTCAGCAATACAACATGCTAATGTTTTTAGCACAAGCCTATGGCATTTTACATTATATAAATTAGCCTAGCGGCTAGCAAACTTTTCCTCAACTCATATGAAGCCAGGGACAACAGCAACATTTAACAAAGGTAATGTAACAAAATTTGGCTCAATTACAGCTCACAGGATTCACTGGCAAAACAACTGTCTTACTAAACACATTTTCCAAACAAATATATCATGCTAATGTTTTTAGCACAAGCCTATGGCATTTTACATTGTATAAATTAGCCTAGTGAATAGCAGAGATTACATCTACTCATATGAAGCCAGGATAAATCACACACGAGGCATAAAATGCTATTTTGTGGAGGAGTTGTCGTCTTCACAATTTATTGTTTATATGTGAAATCAAAGTAAATAAAATCTTTGCTTCAACTTGACCCTATATTGACATATAAAGTGTTGCCTAAATTTGTATCTTGCTTGAAAATATATTGATACATCGTACATAGTTGTTATATCGCCCAGCCCTACAGCAGTTACTGTGATATCAGGAAGGTGGAAAACATAGCACCCACCCTCCAGTTCCCCTCAGTTAAAAATGTTGCTGCTGTTGCCGTTGTTAGCACCATTAGCTGCTAGCCGTCAGCTCAGCCATGAAGTCCATATTGAGAGCCTTGTGCAGACAACATCTGAATCATAAATACACTCTGATTATCACATAGAGCTCCCTTAAGTGTATCTGCAGAAGCATACAACTTTATCCTAACTTTAATGTTTCATAGTGTTATTTAAGAAGGTTGTGAAGTGGTGATTTCTGGGCAGGACACTAACTCTGTGTACTGAATACCAATCCACCCAACTCATGGATAAGATTCAAGGCTTGAAAATGGAAAAAATATACCCTGAAGCCCTCAGGGTATATTGTCCTGCTTGGACAGACTGATAGTGTTCTACACTTCTTTTTTATCAATCTGGATAAAGAAAGAAGAAAGGATGCCCAAGCGTTGAAACATTCCTCCAAGCAAGCACTTATTTTGTTTTTAACTGAGAGTTTGTTTTTTTCCCCAACACCATTAACTACTCCAAGAACAGCTGCAATTGGGACCAAAACACCTTTCACCCTGAATTGCTGTAAGCGAGATTGCAGTTAGCGAGCAAGTCTGCAGGTTAGTAAGAAAAAGATCAGACATGTCAAACATGAAATTAGATGGTGCCATGTACAGTACCATGAGGTGCTCCCCGCAGAAGATGATCCAGAAGGAGAGCAGCATTGAGTAGAAGATGCCCTGCCGGATGTCTCCAAAAAGCAGCATCCAGGTCCAGTTGAAGCCAATAGAGAACCACTCCACTGGGATGTTGATGAACGTCATTGAGATGCCCAGAGCGAGGATTACCCTGAGGGAGCAAAAACAGGTTTAACTATCATTTTCACCAACATTACTAACAGATAAGAGATTATAAAATTTTTTTGTAGCAACATTCATATGTGTTTAGATGCATCCATTGATACTTAATGATTATTTTTTACATTTAAAATGATTATCAATAGCAGTATAATTCCTAGTCCTCAAGAAAGATAAATGGATGAGTCTAAAGCTACGAGCCCAGAGGAAAATTTTCTTTGCAATAAAAAAAATAATTGTCTTGAGCAGTGCTGGCTGATGCTGATGAAATTTAGAGTCACTTTAATTGATGAGCTTTACACCTGAATCTTGACTACGTCTCATACACTGACACAATCAATGTTTTAGAGCAAGGCTACATCTCTGCTGAAGCAGGCTCATTAGATCTTGGGACATTATTGATTAGATTATCCATTCAGCTACAAGCACAGCGTGTCCCCACTGACCTCTTCAATTCTACATAATTTACTACCTTTCCAAATGGCCTCATTATTACAGCAAACCTCCCTCAACCTTGGAATCCAGACATTAGGAGTGAAATACAGGGAAATGAATTAAGAGTCAGCCCACAGTAAGAAAGAACAGGGCTCGTTTTCAAAGCGTCTGCAGCAGGTCCCTGCATGCTGCCAGTGGATGAAACGACAAATGTAAATAGATAGATAACAGGGCAAAACAGTACCACAGCATATGTGTGTATTTGTGAGAGAGACATGGAGTTTAAAAAACAGCAGATAAAGGTGACCTGAAAACATGTGGGAACAAAAGTTTTGGCAAACGCTTTGGGTAACGGAAGTAATGTAACACAGGTTCTAAGCAATTCCACTCCAGACAGCTCGTCAGCGATGTTCTATGGAGCGAACAGAGTGAAACCACATTTGACTGGTATGCAGGGAATGTGTCCTGAACACCAACAACACACACAGGAGAGCTTGGGACGGTATCTATGTGTGTGAATGTGTGTGTGGAATAAGACAAAGGGCTTGGTATGAAACGTGGTGCAGGTCATAAAAAGGTTACTTTGCCATTTTCTACCAGCTTTGTCTCATAACAATGTAGTGACTGTAAATGAACTATGGTAAACTTCCCTTCATCTTACCGGTGCCCAGACCCCCCTGCTTATCTCCTAGCTCGTATTTGCAGGATGACACGTATCAGGCTGTTACTCACACTACAGATTGTACCTTCTCATTTTTGTATGCCTGCCACCACAGACTGAGAGTATAGAAGCAGATCGAGAGAGCCGCCGCCCCTCTTACTCAACTCAGATTAAACTGTAAAACGAGGCAGTGCTGTGTGAATGTAAACTGAGATTCTGTTCTCTAAAATGTTCTCAAGAACAGTAAGTAAGGGATGCACCATAATATCGGCATGTCATTGGTATAGGCCGATATTGGCTTTAAAATGAATTCTCAGAACTGGCCAACATATTTTGCACAATGCAGCAAAGCATTGTATTTCATGTCTCCATCTGCTGGTGGGCCATCACAATAAGAGTATGTATGTATAATATGATGTTAATTCCACTACAGAAGAGACCTGATGATCACTAAACTTAGGTAGGGATGCATGATATACATTGGGCTGATAAATTATCGGCTAATGGGGCATTTTTGTAGTTATGCATTATTCCAATAATTAAAATTATAGCTGAAAAATAGTGCCAATGGGAAGAAAAAATTAACGTCAGGCACTCGTGCATGGAGCAGGAACAAAGTAATTTAAATGTAAGTTAAAAAGCCTTTATTCCAAAACATGGCTGCTTACATTAAAACACTGACTGGTTTTGACCCTAAGGTCTTCGTTAGGGTGCTAAAGGGTGGACTAGAGTCAAGCAAAACATTTCTACAAGCTCGTTAGGGGGCGTCACCCAATCTTGGTTAAAGGGCCAGTGTGTAAAATGGGTTGAAAACCGTTGGAAACAGTGACATCAGTGGTCAAATTCTAGATTGCAGGGCTCACTCGCTCACCCCTCCCGTCGGGTAAATGACGGTGGCCTTGTAGGGACAAAAAGCCTTGCGCACAAGTTTTTCAGGAGTAGGTCTATCTAGCGACGAGGTGAATGTTTATTTAGAAATCTAAGCCATGTTACGATATTGTAATCAATCCCTCACGAGCAGGAGACCAGAGGAGCGTTCGGGAAAAAGGCCCGTTTATTTGAGCACTCCAGAAACTCCGGTAACACTCCACTCCGTCCCAAACTCTGACTCTTCTACATTAAAAAACACTTTTTAACTTTACACACATACTCGTTTGCCATACTAAGTGGGGACCCCCCTCCCCTCTCTGCTCCGCCAATCTACAGCCCACACACTGACTGACAGGGTAGCCGGTAACAGAGCTCAGCTGTTTATTTAGCCTAGCCATATCTCCGGACTATAGTAGCTGCAATGGACGACTTTGAACGCGATTTTGAAGAGTTTCTTGTAGCGGACACAGACCCAGAGCCATACCTGTTTGAGCCGGAGCATACAGATGAGGAACTCCATGTGTTTGATGCTGAGCGGGTGAGAAGAGAGGCTGAATGCACAGAATGGGATTCGGTGCTACTGCTGCCATTGTTGGGGAGATATATCACCAGGAGGAAAAGCGCCGCAGAGAGTGCATCACAAGGAGTGAAGTTGCGTCTTCTTTTCCTCGCAGATGACGGTTCGGGTTCATTCTCTCCTGTTGCGTGGTAAGTGTGGTCCATTCGCAAACTTTATAACTAAAAAAACTTTTCACTACTCTCTATCGACGAACTACTAACACTCTGCTGTTTCCTCCTCCTTCTTCCTTCCTTCCGCTGTCTTCGTTGGTTCATTTATACACGCGAAACGCGTTCTCTGGCTGGCTGGATTGTCCACTCGGTCTGCCGTACATACATGGCGGCGCAAGATGGCGATCTCTCTAAAGCAAGGCCCTTGCTATATATATATATAAAAGCATAATTATAAGGCTACGAAAACCAAACGAATTTTATTTTATAGTGATCATACACTTGTATAAACATATTAATGGGTAGAATATTCAGATTCAGATTCAGATTGACAATAAACCATGCCAAATATTACACACTGGCCCTTTAAAAAGTGAGCAGAGGTGGGTGACTGCAATGGATTACAAAGAGACGCCATTTTGAAAGTAACACACCCCCACAAGTGTTCAGAAAAAAAAAAATCCCTGAACTCAAATGAAAGAAAAAAAAAAAAAGGGACATCACAGTTGTAGGATTTTTACCTCTTGAGCCGAAGCCCTTTTCCTCAGTTTTCTCTGGTCAGGTAGCACCAATTAAAAAGTATTTGCGTTTTTCTACAGCCTTGTTTCATGACAAAAACATCTTTCCAGAAATACTTCTTTTAACCAATGGTTCACATTTTGACATGTGAAAGCAGAGAGGGCACAGATGTAACTAATAACACTGATCATGTCTGCGTTACATTTGAGTGAGCCAGTCCCTGGGCCCTGCTACTGTGCAAGCTAACTCACTGACACATTTAAGTGAGCAGAGTCATCGTTAATGTTATTAATCCCACCACATCCTGCTGTGACGATTCACAATGTCTGTTGTATCTCTGCTTCTGAGCACAGCAACATTTTTCATTTAGAGAAAAGTTTGCAATGTTTGAGTTTGCCCATGAATTACACCATCCTAAACCATTTTCACATTGAGAGTTCCCCCTCACATTGGTCCTCTAAGTTTAGAGGAAAGTCTGAGGTGTTCCATCCTGACACCTCTGTGGACTAGCATGACAGGAGACTCTGATACAGCTTTTACAGCATGAAATAATCATCCACTGTCCACAAATAGGGTACAAGTCGCACTTCCTGAGAGCCTGCTGGTCATTTGGGAATAAGAGCCTTGAGCCGGAAAATACAGAGGGAAGGAGAGCGAGAGGCGCTGGCTGTGTGTGTCTGTGTGCGTGAGGTGTCTCAGGCAGCAGGCGTGTATGCCCTGAATGTGTGTGTGCAGCATGTGTCAGCTGAGTGCTAGCTTGCAGATTTTGTAACGTGTTTCACGCTTCGCCAGGCACTTCCTGTGGCACAGAACGCTGCCTCTTACTGATCTGTCTTCCCAGCACGGCAGGGGGTTAGACAAACACTGGTCTGTGAGCAGAGCTGCAACTTTCCACAGCATGGCATCCAAACCATCTGCTGTAGGCAGAAATACCTGTGTTTGCTGCTCTAACTTTCACAGGGTTTGGTGAGGGAATGAACACAAATATCCAATGTTTTGAATCTTTTCCCTGATATTTTTAGAGGAAATCTGTCTTAGTGACAATTTAACATGCATTTACGATGCCAAGTGTGACCTGCTGATAAGACAATATTCCTCTGATGAACACCTTCTGATCTCAGTGACCTTCACTGCACAGAGTGAGCATGCCCTACTTGTACATTTCATCCATAGTTAATAAATGCCATCAACCAGCAGTCGCACTGAAGCAGAGCCTCCGTGGTGAGTAATGAAACCGTAGAAACACAATCAGAGTAGGAGGGACATTATCATTGCAACCATCATAGCGGGCTACCTTGCATTTAAACAAACCGACCTGTGGCAAGTCGCTAACTTACCAAGGTGAGGTTTCGCAGTAATGACCAAATGAGCTGTGGAGTGGTAGTACAAGGCATGGAGAGATGGGGTTTTTTTTGCACAACCTCAGTCGCCTTGCTGCTGACGAGAGATTGAGGATTGCTGGAAAAGTAACTGCTTCTCAAGGGAACCAATACGGTAGCTGATAATTTCACGTTTTTGAATTTCAAACACAAGTGTATAACCTGTAGTTTATGCGTACCTGAGGGAAATGAAGGCTACGATGTAGTGAGAAAATATGGATGATTTAATCTTAATAATACATAATGCGACGGCCTCCTGCTTCAGCAGGGCCTGCTTTGTGTGTTTTCCCCTGTCTGTCTGTTGCTGTGTCTTTCAGGTCCTGGTAGGCAAAGCTGAGTGAGTGCAACTGGGAGCACCAGGCCAGCCTCCCAGTGGCAGCTTACTTAAGCCTGGCTGTTCAGTGTGCTCTCTTCCCCTCATCCGGCACCAAGTTCTTGTTAAGTTGGCTTCGGCCTGGTTTCAGTTTTTGTTCTACACCACATACAACACCCTGCAACCATCACTCACTCACCCATTCACCTGCCGACGCACTGAAACACAGATTTACACTTCTTATAACTTACCTATGCTTTTGCAATTATCTTTTGTTAAACAATAAGTGTGTGCAAATTTTAGTTGATATTGTGTGTGTCTCCCATTTTTATCATGGCCTATGAGCCAGGTCATGACAATCGGTTTGATATATAATGCATCCCTAATTATGATGCCAAAAGGTGTAATTCTTCAACAGCAATAAATATGGTGCTAACAATACAAAGGTGAACACAGAGCAGCACTGAGGATGTTGCCTTACTTCTCCAGCAGCACAGGAGGTCTGCTCATGAGGGTGATCCTTCTCCAGTACCAGATCATGATGATGAGGATGCTGGGTGTGAGGAATGTCTTCATGGCGAACCACACTTTGGTGAAGCCTCCATTCTGGTGGATGCTCTTGGAGGAGAGAGAGAATCACTGTCAACTATTTGTGTTGTGTGGGGTATTTTATTGTCAAATAAGAGCTAACACCAACACCATATCCCTAAATGGCCGAATAAAGGGCCCCTGACTGTGTGGCTCATCATTAACCAAAGCACTTCACATACACAGATCCCAATCAAAGGCAAACTTACAACAAAACGTATGTCTTTGATTTCTCCGATCCCCACATTGATTTTCTTCTTCTCGTTGACAGGCAAGCGGATATTGAGAAGATAGTACTTATGGGCCACGCTGCCGACCTCCATGAAGGGCAGCAGGTCACACTCATAGTACCGACCCTCGTTCTCAAAGGTCTGGAAACAGCAACAAAACCATATCTGGTTTGAAACACATTTATCTGAGGATATCAGACACCTTAAGATTAAACATGCTCAATCAGGCGGCGCAACAAGGCGTCTTGGAGTGCAGACATTGACCATTAACTTCTGAAGAACAGGTTTAAGTGTCCAGCGTTACTAGAAAATTTGCCAAAGTGCCCTTAAGGGTTCATCAGGCAAAACTCTTCATTTAGGTATCACTACAATTAGCATTGAACGTAGTGAAGTAAAACCCTTAAAGAATTATTCCTGCCTTCCAGTTATTGAGGCTAAAAATCACTTTGTAATGACATGAGTTTGCAACAATAAGTCCTCTGGAGTTAAAACAGTGACGACAAATTAAGTCACTTAGATATGAATAAATCCATAACAATTTCTTTTATTAACATCTGTATCTCATCAGTTCTTGCATCTGTGGAAGCTGATAGTCAAGATAACTGTATGTAACACTCAAAAAACTGACAAATACCATGTAATATTATTGGAATGTACAATAGTAAGTTGTTTTTGGTATTCTTAATATGCATAATAGTGACAAACAGTGTTGTTTTCCCACCTTGGAGGTAGTGAAGTTGCAGTTGAGCTTCCTGTTTTCGAAAGAGTGAGCCATCTCTGTCCACTCACTGACTGTGTCGTCCCTGTAGGCCAGGCCCACGTCAATGGTGGCCAATGCGCCATCCTCTAAAAGGAATCACAACAGCAGCAGTTCACTTTTAGATCAGTGCAAACATTCAATAGAAGACAAGAGAAAGAAATAAATAAGAAAATCTGTGAGTAGATTTGCACATAAAAATCCTTGGTACTAGAAACCTATTCCGGATTCATGAACGCCGCAGAAAACTCAGATTTGACTGTGTGTATGTTCATGAATGCCAATCAGTCACAAATTGGCAGCGCACTCCCGCTTGTCAGCAATTAGCCTACATCCCCACCAATAAACAGCCAATGACCGCCATATATGGAGGTGATAATTACTATGGATATTTGCATCCTGTCAACCTGCCGACATGGAGCAAACAAAGGCGCCTATTAAAACATCTTAAAACAGGCAGTCTAATGTAGGCAATAACTCACCGTTAAATTTAACAACAAGTAAGGTAGTCTAGCATAAAACCACACCATGTCCCTCCACACCGCCAGATTCAGGTACACCAACTGCCTGCTGCGAGCGACAGACTCCTAACTGCTTTCCCGCGTTCACAAGTCTTATTAAACCAAAACTCAATCTGCAATAATGGTTACCACTTCTCCCACGTCGCATCTCTGATGATTAAATTAAACAAAAATGACATGCAGTTTGGGGCTGCGGTGCGTACAGAGCACATTTCTAATCTATTGTCATGTTTAATTTAGGTGTTTCAAAGGCATCTGTTTATTTTGAACACAACAGAGCACAATACTAAGTAAAATTGTAATTTCTAATAATGACAAGCAACATTTATGTGCAATATCTTATTTACACAAGCACTACAATCAGTAAGAAGCAGGTGTAGATTTTGTTTGTACCTACGAAAAGACTGGAGCTACTAACATACTGATGAATGCCAAAATACACGTAAATGTCCTTCTGCGAGAAGTTTACAAACTAATTTGTTCTGCTCACATTTCATGAATGAGACCCTTTCAATGTGCAAGTATGTCAAATTTTGACCCAAATTTGTGCAAAATCATTACATCCAAAGAATTACACAGTGGTTGCAGAAGAAATTGGGGTCTTCTAAAATGCAAAAATACACTGAATAAGACATTCGTGTTCGTCTGTATTTCAATCCCTGTTATACCTCGTCACTGCGCAACTCTGCTGGTTGTTATTATCCCAGTGACGGGATAAAATTAGGTCCTGATGACAGACAGCCATGGCCTTCTAACTATGAGACCAGCAAAGTGACAACACTGCTCACACTGACATGGAGACATTCCCCGCTATAGTCTAAAAAAGGTACAGTTCATTTCCAGACACCGTGCCAGTGTTTCACATGCTGAAACCAATCCAGAGCGGTGCACTGTGAAGAAGATGAAGACGGACATTTTATTCATTTAAATCATTGAGAAGCTTCTTGGCTGCAGTTCCAACTGATTGGATGTTTGTTTATGAAGGCTGTATATTCATCTAGACTGGGTTTGGTTGGTATGGTGAGATGAAATCATTTGAGTGTTACTATGTGGTCCTGTCACCTGGAATGAGTCTGAATCCATGAGATTAGCAGGATTATTTCTCAGCATGTAAACATATTCAGTGATTCAGTCTGCCCTCCATGATGGCCCAAATCTAGGTTACTTCCTACTTGACATAAACTTCAACAAGACCTTGAGCTGGCCTCCAACAGCCCAGCCCAGCGAATCCAACAAAAACATCCAAAGCCAAGCTATTAAAACTGCATCTTTAGATCACATTACAAAGCCAAGTGTTCTCTCCTCCAGCCCTCCAGAGTGCCTCTTGTGCCGTTATGAAACAAGCTGGAATGAAGAGAAAGAAACTCAGTGGCCTGTGCTGTGAGGAGAAAAAAAAGTAGAGGAAGGGGGAGAGGGAACCAGATGAGAACTGGCAGCCGACTGTCTCTGTAATGCCCTCCACTCTGCCATTGGTCGAGACAGACGCCCTTGAATGTCAGTTCGCTTCATGCAAACATTCCACTCCAGTCCAGCCGCCATCGCCACGGAGACTAAGCCTCCTCAACAGCTGTGTTATTGCTGGACCCTGGCCAGGGGTGCTTGGTGATGGGGTGGAGGAGTGGGGCAGGTGGGTGGAGTGGTTAATAGGGCGAACCTCTTCTCTGGGACACACATTGTTTCACAGATAAGGTAGTGAAGGAAGAGATGGCCTTGTGTTCATTTGTCATAGAGCTGCAGAACAGAACCCGCCTACCTTTGGCACAAAGAGTTCTGGTCAGGACTGAGACAGACAAGCTGACGCCATGTTGTTAATCATGGACGATCTGGCTCCGTTGTTTTTGGCATTTATTAGCATTTTATTATGTCTGAGTCCAGTATCTACTCAGTTAAATGAATCAGAAATGTAATCAATAAAAGTTAGAAATGTTACAATCTGAATTGAAAAATAAAGACTGCACGTTTTACTTAAGAGAACTGAGTTTTGCTACTTGGCAAAATGCTCTCCTTAATTAAGTTGAAGATGGAATTAAATTTGTTAGATGAACCAATCTGTGCATTTTACCAAAATAATGTGTACGGCCCCTAATTTCCAGGGCTGGTACCTGCAGTTATTCCACAGGCTAGTTAATAACATGTCGGGCAGGAAATCCAAAGTGTGGGATCATTTTGAGAAGGTGAAGGACGAACCCAAGGTGATATGTAAACTCATCTTCATTGGTCGACAACAAACATGACGTATCATCTGAAACATGGAAGTAGCTACATGCCCATTAGCCACTTAGCACAATCATTACTGCTTTGCCGACAGCGTCATTAACAGGCAGCTCGCTCAGTGTGTGACGTGCACTTGTAGATAAAAAATAGGCCTATATTAATGAAGGTTCATTAGTACGGTTTTGTGTTTCTCTGTAATGTAGCACAGTGTTAACAATGTTACTGATACTATTCTTTCTCACATCTTCAACTCAAACCATTGTGTTGCCCCGCCCAAAATATATCATTTAATAATTAAATTAATAACATAAACATGCAGACAACTAATCGACTAATGGCCCTAAATGACGACTATTGGTTGACTAGGAAAATTCTTAGCTGGGGGCAGCCCTAGATATTTCCGTCTCTGTCCACCATCTATCATCTACCGCTGCTACGTTTTAATGTTACAAGCACAGCATGCTAGCTATTAGTTTGCGTCATATCTTGAAATGTACCAGTGGTATCTCCAGGCAGTGAATCACCTCAGCAGGAAAGGGAGGAGCACAGAGGATAGGAGGAAGGAGTGATACTGACTTTATTCTTTTTTTTTTATTCTTTTAAATTCTTTCTAAACTTCACTCAGTATTGTGATGTCAGCAATGTGCTTTATTTTATTTACATTTCAGATTTGTTTCCAGTCAGATATTACTGAGTTTATATAGTGACTTTGCCGTTGTAAACATCAATGTTGTGCCTTTAAATCCTAAATAAATTCTAATCTTGTTCCGAACTTCTTCTTTTGAAAAATAAAATGTGTTTTACAAAGCAATTCTTAGTAATGAAAAAGAACTGATGAGAGTATTAATAAAGTAGTGAACCGATAAAGGAGTATTGATAAAGAGTTGTAGTACTGATAAAAACCTAAGGTTACCCATCCCTCAGCATCAGTGTTGGAGGACAGGTTAGACGAAGTAGTAGAGGTTTGTTTTTTACTTACATTCTTACTACTTAACAGCCTCAATGCTTGAGACAAGCTAGTTTGTAAATTCTAGCTGGCTCTCCTTTCTAGCACAGCCCATCTCAGGAGAACGCAGAAAAAGCAAAAATAAATGGGTTAAAAACAGTCTGAAAATCTCAAGTTTCAAAGTGGGAATCTCACTGCTGCAGCACTAGCTGGTTTCTCCTACATGCAGCATCTACAGTGCTCAGCTCCCTCCACATCCACTTGTTCTCAGAGCACCTCATGTAGCTTAGAAAGATCAAAATGAGTCTGTAGCATCTGGCAGAAAGAGCTGTCTGTGGTCCAGGCTGATTCACTGACTCCTCTGTCTGGCAGCCAGGCAGTAAACAACCCACAGCTCCCTAACACACTTCCGCTGAGGCCAAGAATGTGAGCCAGCAAATGATGCTGATGACTAGGCCACCATTACAACATGACTGTTTAGACAAGCCAGGCCAGAAAGGCTGGGTCATATGAAAGTACACCACAAACTTTTTCTTCTCTGCATGTTTACAATTATGTCCACTGCCTTTCTGTTGATTAAACATTGGCCTAAGGTGGATGTATCAAGGTTTACGGGAATTTGTCAGTGTAGACATGACTCTGTATCAGAGGTTGTTACAAAGCTCAAGTTGGCATTAACATGCATAGCTATGCATTCTAAGCCATGAAGCTAAAGATGTCATTTAAAGCCAAAATATCTTTCCCAGGCTCTCCTGGTGATCCAGACACTTATTAGACTCCCGTCATCCTCTCTAATCCCTTCTTTGAGGATCTAAAGCACCCTACCAGGATACCAAACCCTGTCTTCTTCCAGATACCAGTTATCTCCCTCCTCCTCCCCCGTTTCCTCTCATTAAAGCACAGAGCTGATGCTGTAGGTCTGTCTATCCACTGATACACTTCACAACTGTGGTGTCTGACATTGCGTGGAGACACAAAATAGTTTACAGTGAAGTTGCAGGTGGGGTTTCCCCTATGGCGACAGAAACTAGACATTTGATAGAGCCTGGGGAGACTGCATTTATTAAATCAGACACTCTGCTCAAGAGGTTAAAGAAAAACTACCCTTATGAAAGATTTCAAACTGGATTTTATTCATTTTTACCCCAAAGCTTTAATGTCATTTAACAATCAAATTGTTAAGATTGTAGGAAGATTGCAAACTATTCCATAAATGAGGTACACCACTTTACAACACTGTCTGTCCCCTCAAAAATCAAACGAATGTAACTGCAACAAATGTAGTATCATCACTCTGAGGGGCGTCTCACACAAATTATAAATTAAGATGTTTTAATGAAATGATAATGTAATGAGACTGTAACAATCATGGCAGAAATTACTGCAAAATATATCTTATCCTGACTTTTAAGACAAGATAAAAACAAGCATGAGTTCGCTACAGCTGCAACTACATACGCACATGCATCCACACATTGTCCCTTTTTACCAACTGACCTCTCGCTAAGCCCCGCCTCTTTTTCCAACCTCTCCAGGTAACAAGTATCATTAATACACGATGTGTCCACTCCCAAGCAAAACATTTAGCTCCAAGTTGTTGTCTGAGCCGGCCCGATGCTACATTATGACTGGCCAGTCTGTGTCCAGGGTCAGGACTTAGCAAAGGGTCAACTGACATGAACAGTTATCAGCTGTCTTTTGGCTCACAGGGCTCAACAAAAAGTATTGCCTGGGGCAAGTATAATGCTACATTGGGCTAGTAAATCTAGCAGGTGGTATTTAGAATCAAACACATCCATTTTTCCCAGAGCTGACAATAGCAGTAGCTAAGGAGTGAGCCATCTTGCTTCCGTCTCATCTCTGTTAAAAGTTGCACATGCACCGCATCAGGTACTTGCAAGAAAATGGCGGCGGGTAAAGACAAAGTTCATGAGCTGAGGATTATCTTGGATACAGGGGTTTAGTTGAGTGGTGATGGCTGACTCAATCTTTCCACATTTTGTGCAAGGAAGTTATGCACCCTTTTGTGATAGACCACTTCCGTTGCCATAACGTCTTTAGACAGCTGGCATGAAGATAAACACACACCTTCACACACAGAGATACACACAGTTGACCTGCCAAATTTCAGCCTCCTAGGGTGAAAACCGACAGACTGACTTATAGATGGTGGTCGCAGCTAAAAAAAAAAAAAATTCGCTAAACTGGGATGATGTCATATCCAAACTACATAATTAATTTGGTTGGGGGTCTTTGGGAATGGTTAATAAGACATTTCATTGCTCAAAGGTATCCAACAAGAAACAGGTCCAGATTATCTCTCGCCTCTCTCTTTGCACCTGTCTCAAGGGTGTCTGACAAGCCTGTGTACAAAACGCCCAAAGGGTCTATAGAGAACAAACAGCAGGGCATCCATCATTGTTTGCTGCCTTTCAGTGTAACAGAAATCCAATCTACAGAGAAGACACATTTCTGTGGGTTCCTCAGGCGTTCACCATAATAGACTGAAATAAGAAAACAAGATAACTATTACCACAGTCTTACAGGGAAGGTAATATGAGGAACGTAACTGGGATTTACTGGTAAAGTTGGAGTGACTCTGCACTGCAGTTTATGATGCCACTGATTAGAAGTGACAATACATGTAAATATTTCAGAGGCTAGCGTGGTCACATTGAGCCTCTGCAAATATGTGCCTTCACACTGTGAATCTAAGAAATAATAGAGATAAATATTGACACAACTGAAAAAATGTAGCACATGCAAAACAAAGCCATTTCGTGAGGGAAAAACATGAGCTGTGTTGTCCTCACCCCCTTTTTTGTTGTTGAAACCCATAAGAAAGCCTTGGTTCTCACCTATCTGGTTGTACATCTTAAATGCGATGTCAAACTGCAGGATGACCAGCATAAACTGGAACCAGGGGCTCATCTCCTTGTCAGGCAGAGGAATGTGCACTGCAAATACAATGTTGTTGGCCTCAATCTTCTTCAGCATGGCCTCATCAAAGTTCCGGATCTTGTCGCATTGGTTGGGACCCCAAGGCATGAACCATTTTGATTCCTGTCGATGCTTGACTGCGTCCACACACTTGGTGGCCAAGTAGTGCATCGCCGTGGTGGGGCTGGGAGCTGGTGAGACAAATATAAAGTGGGAGAGATGTTAGACTCGGTGTCACATTGAAATACTGCAGCAAAGTGTTTCAAGGTCCTGCCAAGCCAGATTTCCCCTCAAACAAATAAATCACACAAAAAGTTTGAGTAAAAATCAATAAATAAAGCTGGAGCACTCTGGATTAAACTCTGCATGGACAATATTAATATCTTAGCAACCATTAGGAACAGTCAACAGTTTGGGTTTGAGCCAAATGTAGTCCAAACACTTTGGCAATTACTTTTAACACTGTTTAGAAAATGCCTGGTAGCAAGGCTCGCTCCCTCTCTGAAGTGACGGGGAGGGAAAATTCCCGAAAGCTCTCAGGCACCAATTACACTGTTTATGCATTGAGATTCATGAGCTTGACAAGACTGGTGTTTGTAGTCTTTACTCACAGGATTTTAGCAGCGCTTGGGAAAAGATCTGTCATTATCATGCAGGCACAAAAACATTAGTTTCCTGTTGTGAAAGCTGGAGGTCTGATGCGAACGACATCTGAGAGGTTTGAGAATTAAGGTGAAATTAGGTAAAGGGTTAAACTCAAAAGATTTTTAAACAGCATGTAGCAAAGATGATGTCAGACATCTGAGTAAAGCCATCGATAGATTAAACAAAATCTACACTTCCTTCAAAGAGTATTCAAGCCACTTAACTTTCTATTGACTCTGTGGTGTTACAGCCACAATTCGCAATAGATTCAGGTAAATTCGGACCTGACAAGCATAATAATCCATATAGTCGCAGCTGATATTCTCAGTTACATTTGTTCTTTGGGTGGTGCCTGACTCTCCAAATTGGCTTAGGCACACAGAATTTCATCTGAATGTCCTGTAAAGAATTTAACTCATTGGACATTAGAATTTAATTATGTATATCATTATTATGCTTTCTGCGCATAACTTTTCAGATAATCAATTAATCATTTAATTCATTTGTTCAAGAAAAAACAAACATTTGATGTTCTAGCTTCTTGAAAGTGAGAACTTTTTGCTTTTCTTTGTCATATGACCATAAATTAACATCTACCAAAGAGTAACATCTTTGGGTTATGGACTGTTAGCTGGACAAAAAAAGCCAATCCAAGACATCTCTCTGGGTGTCTGGGAAATTTTGATTGTCACTTCATACTAGGGATGCACCGAATATTCGGTAACCGAATATATTCTGCCGAATATTGCAAAAAAACACACATTCAGTATTCAGTGGAATAAGTGAAAAGCAAGGCCGAATAATAGCAGCATGTTTGATGACGCAATCAAACAGCGTGCGGTGACGGATGGAGTAAAATGTCGGCAGTGTGGCGATATTTCAATGTGTTGGAGAGTGATAGAAGAAAAGCGGTTTGCAAAGAATGTAATACTGAACTATCTAGAGTAGTGTTGCAGGGTATACTGGTACCAACGGTAGACCGCGGTACTAAAACACCACCGTACATATGATACCATAATGTTGGAGTAGCCTACCGTAGTACTACGGGACCTCAGGTACCACTACTGTGGGATAAGTTCAATGTCCAATCACAAGAGGGTGAGTGTCCATGCGCCGTCCAATATCGGTGCGCGCTAGCCACCTGGCACTCAACATGCCGCTGCAGTGGTTTGTATCCAGTGACATTTCAGGTATTAGCTGAGCTACTGAGTATCTTTGAACAGTGAAAGTTATTAATAATTTATTTGTACTTGTAGGTTAGATTTGTTTATATATGCTACAGCGATCTGTTTTCCACAGAGCTCTACGGTGCGAGCATTTTACTCGCATTTGCAACTAAAAATAGTTTTGTGCGAGCAAAAGAAATCATTCAGGAGCACGCTGTGCAAGTACAGATTTGTGGTTGTGGGTTGAACAGGGGTCACAGACACAGACAGGAATGTATTCCTGTCAAATACGGCAGCCATGTGCTCCGCGGCGCAAGATAACGGCTTACCGGCGACGGAGAAGCCCGGTTCCAGGTCCAATAATTTCCTCTTCTTGGTGTCATGACTGCCCAAAAGTACCTGGACAGCCAAGCCGTGGCGGCACACAGGTATGTGACGTGTCAGAAGAGAAACGAGCCGTTCACATTTCTCTCTTTGTGGCAGGTAACGGTCCACAAACCTCACCGCACTTTAGGGACTGTTCTTAACTTGTCAGGGGAGGAGGGTAGCTGGTTGATTTTTGGTTGATTTTTATTTTATATATTTATTTTATTTCAATCCCCGCTATGTTAATCACTTATTGATGCCGTTTTTGAAGTATGAATAAGTCAATAAGTAATTTATTCCATTGAAATATCATTGATGTATTATAGAAAAGTGATTTATCTTTTTATAAATGACAAAAGGCACATCTGCCTCATTTTCGCTGTGGTATGGTGATACTACTCAGAACCTGGTATCGTACCGTAGGTCCCAATTTTGGTACCATGACAACACTAATCTGGAGGATGTTCATCTGCAAAAACTAATGAAAAACTAAACAACAGCATTCGGTATTCACGACTCAGTATTCGGCCAAGCATTTCATTCTATTTCTATTTCTATTTCACAGAATAACAACCTGCCTGAATCTCAGAGCCAGGATGGGAAATCCCACTGCAGGAGTTAGTGCCGCATTTTCAAGTCTGACCTGTGCACCAAAACAAGGGAGTTACGTTAAGATTAAGAGAACCAGCACAGAAGTACATCTGGTCTGAGAATGAGGAAACGAAACCTCAACTTGCCATGTCTGACGTGCAGACAATTTGTTCTGCAAAAGGTCTATCTAAGAGTGCCAAAGTCCTATAGTTTGAAATATGACTGATGTGTGAACAGGACAGTGACCCTAATCATACAGGCAGAACAACTCTGAAAAGCCTGTATGACAGTCGTGTAGCCCAACCAGCCGCAAGTCCTACAAAATCTCAGTGGAATGACTTGAAGATAAACGCAAAGATGCTTCCAATTTGTTTGAGCAAATCCCAAAGGAAGAACAGGAGAAACACTCCAGTCCTGAATGTGCCTACATGTTTGTGACGTACCTAGAAGGCTCCATAAGCTGTAATTACTGTTGAGGGTGCTTGTGGGAAGTACTGACTCATGGGGGTGAACATCAAAGCCCAGACCTTTTGGATGCAGCTAACGAAAAAAAGATTAGTGACATATCTAAGAAGACTCAAAGCTGTAATCACTGTCATAGGTGCTTCGAGCAAGCACCAACAAGTAAGGGGTAACTGGATATACCACTACTTCCTGGTTTCCAAAAGTGTGCTATTCATAACTGCAAGACGACTGTAAAAGTAAGCAAACACTTTTAAAAAATGTATGAATCAGAATAGTTTGTGCCTGTTACTTATCTGAACATCTAATCATATCTGTTCACTCTAAACAGAGAGCTGAAGGGCGGACACCACAAACAGTTTGCACACCCTTTGGCTAACAGACACTCCACACACTCATAAAAACTCAGCCAAGGACATCTTAAAGGAACCTTCAACTGTGCAAGTGTGTTAACAGCTGCGTAAAAATAAAATAAAAAGCACACATAGCGACAAAGAAGACACACCAGACTGAATTAAACCCAGTTATCTGACTGGCACCCCTCAGACTTTTATCACAGACAATTATCTGGTGACCCCTGCAAGTCTAGCAGGCACACCGGCTCCTCCAGTCTCCATCGCAGTGTGTCCAGAATAATGGCCGTCCCCTCAGCCTGCTGACCCCATGCCGTGTTCCCGGGTTTGTCGGGAAACAAGGGGAGAAAAACCCCTTTCTACTCAATTACCCCTGCCGCCCCCGGCCACCGAGCAAACACAAAGGAATCTGGCTTCATTAAAACCATCTCAGCCAGGAACGAACCGAACAAGCTAATTTATCACCAGCCATGGAGTGAGTGAGATGGGCTCCAGGGACACGGAGACAGGCTGACTGGTGTTTTGGGGGGGTGTTTTCCAAATTCAACTCATAAAGATTTCTATTGACTCTGTGTGTGTGCGTTGTGCATGTGTGAGTGGGTGGGTGAATTTGAAGAAACTTGACAGCAACTCCAATACAGTCCTCACGGCAAAATGCAACTTTGACAGCTGTGTGCACTTGTGTTTTTTTGTGCACCACTGTCTGTCTCAACTCTCAATGCAAATTAAAGAAGGGGGAAGAGGAAGGAACATGAATGCTTTGCCTGCCAGGCGATAGGGATTTGGGGAGAAGGAGACCTCACACAGGAGGGGGGAAGAGGAAGGAGTGAAAGGAAGGAAGGTAGAGATGCTGCCTGGGGCCCCTCACAGCAGACAGACATTATATATGAGAGGTGGGGGAGAGGAGGTGGAGGAGGAGAATGGGGAGGTATGAGGAGAGAAAAGGGGGGGAAGAAGTGTCGAGTTTGGATCAAAGAAGTGAGGAAACACAAAAGGTTTGGAGTATTTCAGAGCATTCCTGCGTTGAAAATCTGAAGCACACACAAATATGGTACACTGCGTTATTTTTAGCTAAAAACACGAAGCCAACAGTTGTGGCACGCAGGCAGCAAACACCTTGATACAAAGCAGTGATTTAACGGAGGTGCACTTCGGCAGCTCTGGTGTCAAAGTACCGCATTGTTCCGGTTAAATAAAGCTAAAAGTTGCCGCTTACCGTGTTTTCTTCACCGTTAAAACGTTATTTAACGCTAGTGTGGAGACATTTAACGTACAGCTCAACTTCAAAGTTTTTAGCTTTAACCGTTTAGAGACGTTAAGATTTAAATATCAACAGGCACGCGCGCACCAAGACAAACGTTAGCTAAAACAAATGGTAAAAGTACGAAGGAAAAACTTACCAATTAAACCGCCGACCATGAAGGCAAACGCCTGGAACAAAAGCAGAATAACTCCCACTATCACCAACTTTTTGGTGCTCATATTTTCAATAATAGCCCCCGCCATTGTGAAAGAACAGCTGGAGTGCAAACAAATGTCACACCGAGCAAGAAACAAACACTAATGTGGAAAAGGGACGAGGACGTTGCATCCACGGCCACAGTCGGAAGACAAACTGGGCCCCCTCCACACCGCTCTGCTCCTGCCTTTCAACTTCGGAGGAGGAGAGAAAAAAAAACAGGAATCACATGACCGAATAGCTCTCAGCTTTATGCCCGAGCAGCCAACACTAGACCGGGGAAAGATCTGTGGAGCGCCACCGCATTGCAATAGAGGCTGGTAATGCAGGTTACCGTGTCACTGAATGGCTGTAATAGCGCCCCTGTGGTGTTACAGCCTGCAGGGCTATTTAAAGGGAGGTTTTAGTGCCAACACATTGTCCTTTAAACATCTATTCTGGATGTCACATATGATGTTGGTGCCATCCTAGGCCGTAAGTATAATATAAATTAGGGGGGACACCTCCCACCCCCCTGGATATTATATGTTCAAAATGTGTGTTGACCGAGCAGGGATGGCAATAAATGAGAAGAGCTGATTTACAGGAGAATAAATACTTAAAGCAATACAGTGTGCCTGAAAGCATTACAGCATTATATTCCAGTGGCATCGGCAGCCATAATCCTGTACGCACTGTGTATAAATTTTTTTTTACAATGATTTATCATCCATCCATCCATTTTCATCTGCTTATCCGAGGCGGGGTTGCAGGCCAAGCAAAGCAGTAACGCTTTCCAGCTCCTCCTGGGCGTTCCCAGGCCAGATGAGATATGTAATCCCTCCAGCATGTTCTATCTCTAAGGCTGAGCCCAGCCACCCCACAAAGGAAACTCATTTTGGCCACTTGTATGCATGATATCATTCTTTCGGTCACTACCCACAGCTCATGATCATAGGTGAGGGTTGGAACATAGATGGGCCACTAAATCAATTACAAGCACGGCCATTCTCAGCTTTCAATGTCAAATAGTCCACAATTAACATTTTTGTTATGTCTCGCCTCGTCAATGAAAATGAAACATAGATTTGGTCTTAGTATTTAGTTTGTCGTCTCAGTTTTACTTGATTCTGTTTTTAGTTCGTCATCGTTTCATTTTTGTCATGGAAAAAAGCTTGTTGACAAAAACTTTATGTCAATGAAAGTAAAAGCTAGAGCTGAACCAGTGACCTCATTATAACTGCTATTATCAACCTATAGTCCTCCGCTCTGCCAACTGATCTCTACTCATCATCTGCTGAAGCTGATGCTTGACCAAAGTTTATTTTTACAAAGTAGCTGCTTAAAACCACTGGAGAACAACTGAAATCGATAACCAAGATGATGCATTTAACACCTATTCCTTTCTGTCTGACAACATCAAGCAATACAACCCAAGTCTCTCTCAATGAGGTCTTCTTATAGCTTGTTCTGAATGTTAACCAATGAAAACGCCATCCTTCGAGCCGGAGTTGAACCAGCGACCTAAGGATTACTACTACTATCAATCTACAGTCCTCCGCTCTGCCAACTGAGCTATCGAAGGAAGCAACAACTCTCTATTTTTCATCCTCTCGATGGACGCTGAAACTGATGCTTAACCAAGCCCCTCAAATGGCCACTGGAGTGTAGATGTCCTCCATTGATTTTTAATCAGTTACTTTCTAAATTTGTTATTAATGTTTTGATGTTAAGTCTTTACAAAATAAACTGTGGTTAAGCATCAGTTTCAGCATCCATCGAGAGTGTGGACAATGAAGGTCAGCACACTACCTTCGATAGCTCAGTTGGAAGAGTGAAGGACTGTAGGTTAAATATACCAGTTATCCTTAGGTTGCTGGTTCAACTCTGGCTTGAAGGATGGAGTTTTTGTTGGTTTCTGGTGTGTGAACATTCAGAATGACAAGATGTCAATGGGCCTAATTTTGACTATGTCTCATATGCACAAAATATACCTGTTTTTGACCTTATTCTAAAAAAGACAATATTCTTTCTGAGCTGTTTACATGGCTGATAGAAATGAATATTCCACTAATACTCCCATTTACATGCAGACATGCATATTCCAATTTACGTGTCCTAAAATGTCATTTATCAAGTTGAAATATAGAAAAGTAGAAAGGCTGAAGCTGCATGTCATGTTGCCACTTAGAATTTTTTCCAGCTGTGGGAGATTTGTTGGACTGTGTGATCAGCTTCCCTCTTTCTTGTTTTTTTTTTCTCTAAAGATATTTTTTGGGGCATTTTTACCTTTATAGATAGGCCAGTTGAGTGTGAAGGGGGAGAGAGAGGGGGGAAATGACATGCAGCAAAGGGCCACAGGCTGGAGTTGAGCCCAGGCTGCTGCGGCAACAGCCTTGTACATGGGGCGCCTGCTCTATCCACTAAGCCACTGACGCCCCAAGCTTCTTTCTTTCGTTCGTCCAACCACCTTCCTGAAAAGGTTGATGTTGTGATATTTGCGCATATTCAAAAACCTGCTGATATCCAAGTCTTTCACGTTTGAGTAGGTGTGTTTCTCCTGACATAAAAAGTGGGCTTTTCTTTTGGGCCTGCCTTTCAAACTCTCAGCCAGTTGGTTTGTGTACGACGCACAGATGTGGACATAAACAGACGAGGCCATTTGTCAAAAACCTTCCTCAAAAACCCCAGTTGAGATGTATATTCTGAATGCACAGTGCCCAAAGAATGCTTCTAAAAACCAAATAATATCAGCATATCCAACATGTCTTAAAAGAAAAATGACAAATTAGGAATATCTAAACAGAATAATCTGTTTACATGACCTGCATCAAATTCAGAATATTTCCATATTGGGAATAATGTGACTGTAAACGTACCTATTGCTTGATTTTGACAGTCAAAAGAATGCTTGTTAAATACAATGATGGTTATCAAGTGTAGTTCTTCTGGATCAGTTTTAAGCAGTTGCTTATTAACTTTGCCATAATTGTACCAGTGTTAAATGAGCATATACATAGACTGTCACATAAAACTCTTTGTAAAGTGAAATAAACTTTAGTTGAGCATCAGTTTTTAACATCCATGCAGATGGTGAACAACAGAGTGACATGTGCTTCCTTCGATAGCTCAGTTGGCAGAGCGGAGGACTGTAGATTGATAATAACAGTTATCCTTAGGTAGCTGGTTCAACTCCGGCTCGAAGGATGGACTTTTCGTTGATAACAAGCTGTAAATTGGCCTCCTATACAGAGCTGTTGGTTGTATTGCTTGATATTGTTGGACAAAAGAATACGTGTTGAACGCATCAGCTTGGTTATAGAGTGTAGATGTCCTCCAGTGATTTTAAGCAGGTACTTTGTAAATGTGTCATAATGTTGAGACTTTAAAAAAAAAAAACTTTGGTTAAGCATCAGTTTCAGCATCCATCAAGACGGTTAACAATTCAGGGATGCTTGCTCCCTTCGATAGCTCAGTTGGCAGAGCGGAGGACTGTAGGTTGATAACAACAGTAATCCTTAGGTCGCTGGTTCAACTCCGGCTCGAAGGATAGACTTTTCATTGGTAATTGTCCAAAAGAAGCTGTACATGGGCCTCATTTACAGAGCTGTGGGTTTCATTGCTTAACTCCGTCTGACAAAAGCATGCTCATCCAAGCCATTGTCCTGGTTATCAAGCATGGGCGGATTATGAAACAATGGGCCCCTGGGCACAGACATGCAAAAGGCCCCACCACCCCTCCTACACAGGAGCACGGCACACAGACTTTGTGTTGGCTTTGCCTCTTTTTGTTGTTTTGTGTCTCTTTGTGGTCTTTTTGTGACTCTCAGGGGTCATTTTGAGTCTCCTCCCTGTCGGTACATGTGAAATTGAGAGGCATTTTGCAGGTGTAGGCCAGGGCGGCCATTATGCCTGGTATGAGGCATGGGCAGTTCAGTAACTTCAACTTTATTTTTGTCCCTGGAGGGCAATTGGGCACGAGTGAACACATAAAAATGCACATACATAATCAGAGAAAGGTGAGGGGAGCCAAATACAGTGAGCTGAAACAACAGTGGACACTGGTATACCGCCTGTTAGAGCCATTTCTAGCAAGTCCTAGTTTCCTATTATTTTTTGAGTCACTCTAATACACCACCTGACCTGGCATCTCAGGAACCTATAATTAAAGGCAGGTATGCTGAAGTGAGTGTGGAGCGTGGAAGATGCCATGGGGTTACAGTCTTTAACAGCTGCCTATTTGGTTAGTATTAGTTTTTTATTGTTTGATGACATTGTGTAATACCCCATTAAAAAAGCAGTCAAGTCTAAAACCAACTGAAGCACCTGGATCATCAAACAATGAGCAAACTAAACCAAAGACAGTGAGTTCACCATATCTCCCGTTATGGCGTCTGTGGGTGGCTATTTTTGAACTTATCTGGACGCCGCAATACAGCCAATGCAACGAAAAACAAGATCAAATAAAAGTGACCACGCAAACTAAATGTTTAGCAGCAAATGAACAAGGGTACGTAATGTGCATAGTGACCCTGCAAAATGGATAATAACAAGATCAACATCCCTCCATCATGACGCTGCTTCCAAGTAATCCATCCACACTTACAGGAATAGTTGGACATTTTGGTAAATACTGACATTCTTGCCGAGTGTTAGTCGAGAAAACACCAATTTCATGTCTGACTGCAGTATCAATGTTTTTATCTAAATCTCAGCAACAAAGCTGGTGAGTGTTTTTCCCAGAATGTCTCTTTTAACACAGACCTGAGATTGATACTGATAATGGAAATGAAGCATGCTACTATGAAACATAATATTTACAGTATACAGTTGGTGTGACTTTTTTTTCAGGAGGCCTTAAAGTGCAGGCTCAAATGTAAACCCAAAATGAGGGATTGTTGTCCCTTAAAATGTTGTCATATTAACTGAAAGCATGCAGATGATCCACTTAAAGTCCCAGCAAGGCACGTTGACAGTATAGTATGTTGCAGGTGAAGGTCAGGTGATCAGCTCGTCTGTCACCTGCAGAGTCAGTTAAATATCCTGTAGTTGTTGTATTCCATATCACGACTCAAAATGTCCTCAATTCCTGAAGTATTTCCAGAAAACCTCCTGAGATGAATAATATTCTGTGGATATAATCAATAAAATGCATCATAAGCTGATTGTTTCATTAGAAAAATCCAATCAGAGCAGTATTTCCCATGTTCATTTTCCAGTGACACTCAGGTAATTTATGATTTTTTGACAT